AGTGTTTGTGGTGATTTTGGTCCAGTATTTGAAGGGGTTCGTTACAGTTTATAGACGTTATGAACAGAATCAGTGACACAGGGCAACCTTGGCAGAGTCCAACTCTCACTGGGAACAAGCCCGACTTACTGCTGGCAATGTGAGCCAAGCTCGGACACAGGGACCTAACAGTCTGTATCAAAGGGCCTGGTACCCCATACTCCCCGAGTACTCCCCACAGGGTTCCCCGAGGGACACGGTCAAACGCCTTCTCCAAGCCTACAAAGACTGTAGACTGGTTGGACAAACTCCCACGCACCCTCCAGGACCCTACTGAGAGTGCAGAGTTGGTCCAGTGTTCCACGACCAGGACAAAAACCACACTGCTCTTCCTGAATCCAAGGTTCGACTATCCAATGGAGCCTCCTCTCCAGAATCCCTGAATAGACCTTACCAGGGAGGCTTATGAGTGTGACCCCGACCCAAAGTCTCCAGGCTCCGCTTCCTCAATGGAAAATGTGCTGGTTGGATTAAGAAGGTCATCGAAGTACTCTGCTCACCAACCAACAATGTCCTGCGTTGAGGTCAGCAGCACACCGTCTCCACTATAAACAGTGTTGGTGGTGTACCGCTTCCCCCCGAGACGCTGGATTGTGGACCAGAATTGCCTCAAAGCCGTACGGAAATCATTCTCCATGGCCTCTCTGATCTCCTCCCACACCCAAGTTTTTGCCTTAGCGAACACCCGCCTGACTACCCACCGGCAGTCCAAATGGCATGCTTGGGCTGCCGGTACCCATCAACTGCTTCCGGGGTCGAACGGGCCAAAAAGGCCAAATAGGAATCCTCCTTTAGCCTGACAGCATCCCTCACCACCATTGTCCACCAACAGGTTCGAGGGTTACCATTACAACAGGCACCGACAACCTTGTGGTCACAGCTCTGATAAGCCCCCTCGACAATGGAGGCGCAGATCAAAACCCACTCAGACTCTATGTCCCCCACCTCCCCTGGAATGTGTTACAAATTCTCTCAGAGGTGGGAGTTAAAGCTCTGTCTCAAGGAAGACTCTGCCAGACATTCCCAGCAGAATATGTTTGGGTCTGCTAGGTCTGACCAGTGTCCTCCCACATCATTAGAGCCAACTCATCACAGGTAGTGGTCAGTGGACAGCTCCGCCCCTCTCTTCACCCGAGTGTCCAAGACATGCGGCAGTAGATCAAATGAGACGACAACAAAGTCGACCACCGAACTGCGGCCTAGGGTGTCCTGGTGCCAAGAGCACATATGAACACCCTTATGTTTGAACATGGTGTTTGTTATGGACAATCCATGACGAGCACACAAGTCCAATAACAGAACACCACTCAGGTTCAGATCAGGAGGGCCGTTCCTCCCAACCACACCCCTCCAGGTCTCACTGTCTTTGTCCACGTGAGCGTTGAAGTCCCCCAGCAGAACAAGGGAGTCCCCTGGAAGGACACTCTCCAGTACCCCCTCCTTGGCCCCACTTTGGCCAACAAACCTGTATGCTCCACACTGGTTAGTCGTCATTATCTGCATTGTTTTTATGTCTATATTTCTGATTTACTTCATTTTGTATATTGCTTTGTGTGTTACCTGTTGTTCTGTCTGTACAGCACTTTGGTTGGCCTTGTCGCTGTTTTAAGTGCTCTGTAAATAAAATGGTATGGTATGGTAATACTCAGAACCTCTTTATTGATTTGTTAAAGTAAACGCTGTGAGGGATGAGGGCTCCGGCGGTGAGGGATGCTGTCAGGCTGAAGAAAGAGTCCTATCGGGCCTTTATGTCATTTTGGACCCGGAAGCAGCTGATGGGTATTTGTTTATTTGTAAATAAACGCTTTATTTAATATTATTCCTGAGTTCTCAACTGTCTGCCTGCACCATTGGGTTTACCAGCGCCAGGTTATGACATTAACAGGAAGAAACCTCCAGCAGAACCAGGCTCAGGACGAGCGGCCATTACAAAAACATAAAATTAAACCCCCCAAAAAGTACAATTTCTGATTAAAAAATGACCAA